TGCATACAGCCTATAGATTGAGAAAACATACCTAACTCCATACTAGTAGTATATGTGTACCCTCTTGGTTATAAATGTCCTAAACCCTTTCGAAACCCTGCGCAACCCCCAACGTTCCATCCCGAAAGTGCCACTTATTATATCGATACTTTCTTGTTAGGTTCGACAGAGTTGTGTGAATGTCACTGGCAGGTTTTTAACATAGTTTGGTTGATTCGTGCTTTCGAGTTTTCCGGTTCTGTGCAACGACGGTTTTACACAAGTCAGGGGCTTCATTGACCTAAATACCACCGCTTCCTAAACTGCTTATCCTAAACCCTAACCGCCTAAGCCCTAAGACCTGACACTTCCGTGGGTTACGATGGATCTCTGGCGATGCTGTCTGAGGAACTGGAGATCAAGAATGTCATCAGAGTCCAGCTCGTGCGGCAGGCACGGCGGCAACAGGGAAAGATGTGCTCCGACTTTCTGAGCTTTGTCTCGGAGCGGGCACCCCTTGCAGGCGATGCCGAAGCTGTATCCAGAGAAGGTAGAAGCTACAGGGCCGAAGCCTTTGCGACCTGAGAGAGAGAGTCAGAGAGAGACAGGCAAAAAACAGGACAACACGTGTGACTGCTACGAGGAGGACGAGGACAACACCTGTGACGCTACAACGAGGAGGCCGAGGACGTGACCGGAACCTTTTTTCTATGCAAGAGAGACAAAGAGAAAAAGCAGGACAACCGCGCCAGCTGTGAAGCTGCTGAGGAGGACGAGGCCAAAACCTCTGTTCCTGGCCTTCAACCTGTTCAGGGACACCGTGAAGCTGGTGCTGCTACAGCTGCGGGACTTAAAAGCCCCATTAAATCGCTCTAAAGGCCCTTGTAAACCCCGATAAGATAGAATGCCAGTCCAACCTTACAATACCCTTTTGGAATCTTTACGTAAGGATGCCATATCGCCAGGCGAAGCACAAGGCCATCTTTTCTGCCGCTTCGGAGCCAGACAAGGCCAAAGCCTTCATCGAGGCCCGGATTGGCTTATCTGGGATTGATACCGGTGTTTTTTGTGTGGAATATATAGGGTTTATGTAGGGTTTTGGGTTTAGGGGTTTAGGTTTGACGGCGTTTAAGGGCTAGTAGAGTTTAGAGTCTACAGGGGCTGTCTGGTGTTTTACGCAAGGGCTTTTGCAGATTCGCGTGTGGAGGTTGCTGTTTGCATGCTATCTGAGTTGGGTTTGTTTTTGTTCATTGATTGCGCTTGTAACGAGGTTTCTACTACTTTGGCTCCATGTCTCTATGTATGCTCTCTCGGGCCCCGGGCCCCCACCCGCCGCACTTCCCCCCCCCCCCCAACCCATGATACCCCACCCCTGCCCTGTGCGGAAAGCGACAATCTGCGCAGTAGTTTCCCGCATCAGACACGAATTACAATGCTTAATTATCAGGGTTAAATGGCGATGGTGATGGTTGCAGCAGCTATTCCGTTTGATGGTTTGATGGCACTGATGATGAAGATGACGCCAACAATGATGATGTTGAGCAAAGATGATTTGATTGTCGAGTCGCGGCTCCGTCTAGAGCAGCACAACATCATGAGCAGTAGCACCGGTGCCACAGCAAGAACGAAGATCAAAAGTACATAACACGTAAGAACTTCAAGAACGGCGGATGCGGGCCGCACGACCATAGTAGATTCAGATGCAATTGTAGACATGAATGGTGGTGGAGAGGATCAGTGCAAATGCTCTCAACAAATTCCCTGCAACAGTAGTTGAACTTCCTAAACCCTATAAACCTTGAGCCCAGTACTTACAACCCAGAAAGCCAAGGGTCACCGCTCCAAAGCCCCCAATGCAAAATCCTAAACCCCACATGATGCCCAAACACAGATGTCGAAGGTATAGAGTTTGGGGTTCAGGGTTTGTGAGCTCAACATAGCCCGTGTAGGATTTCTAAAAAACCGAAGCCCCGACTCGACGTTGTTATATAGACAGCCCCGTCTTAAACTCTGATTCCTAAACCCTGAGCCCCTTGCAGCTTGAAGTCCTCGAGCTCTTCAGACGGTATAGGGTTTAGGGTTCAGGGTTTAGGGCCACAACAACAAGCAGTTGCTCTAAAGCCTTACAAAGCCGTTTGCAAATAACAGCACCTTACATAGATTATGCCCTAAACCCTTATGCCACCTTCACAGGATCATATTAAGTATGCTTAGCAGTACCCATACGCGACCCGTTTAGGGTATGGGGTTTAGGGGTTTAGGGTTTAGGTTTCAATTTCTGGAGGCTTTACCCGAAGCGCTGGAACCCCTTGGGGGCGTGCCCATCGGCGACTTGGCCAGAGCCTCAGGGAAGAATGGCTACTACAAGAAGTAAGGGCCGGCGAACTTAAGTAATGACAGCCCCGATATATAGCATACCCCAACATTTCTATTCTAATTACTCGTTCCGGGGAAACTTCCGGGAGTCCCATACAAGAATCATAGGGGTTTACAATGGTCTTGTGGGGTTCATAAGGGGTTGAGTGTTTAGGGTTTAAGGTTCTGGAATCGCTATGCACCGTATTTGTGGTCGTTGCGTTTCTAAAATCTTTCCCCTAGAACCGAAAACCCAAACCCTAAACCCCAAGGGGGTATTTGGGGGGTTCTGAGTTTGCACCTTCGTTCTTGGTGGGTCCAGGGTTGCACAGTTTGGGTTTTGTAACCTTACCAGCTGAGCGTTCACCGCGTTGAATTTAGGGCTTTAGGATTTCCTCCGCTTAGTTGAACACAATCCCAAGCGCCAGCACGAGCCGTTGTGGACTCAGCATGACTCAGCAAGTCTACTCACTGAATTACAATCTAGACCCCACTACGCTTCCGACTAGCCCTAGAGCCAAAGCAGCATCCAGAAAACTCCAAAGTTCTCAGCCCCAAACCCCACATTCCTGAGCCCAAAATCCTGAATCGGAAACCCGAAACCCCAGGGGCTCAAAGCGGACACCTGTTAGCTCTGGCTCATTCTTTTAGCAGGTCCTTGGGAAGACCAAGATTTTCGCGAAGCAGGCGGTTATGGTCCGGCTGGACAAAGCAAGGGACATGGCCGTCTCAACGTGGGCATCTCAGGTTTGCTGCAGAGGTTATCCGCTAAACAGGCCTGAAGCCGTGCACTACGTTTTAGGGGGGGCCTCTCTTTGCGCTATACTGGTTTTAGTCTTAGAGCCCGAAGACATGATACTACTCATTCTTCAGGCCCCATACCAGGAGTAGATTACATGGGCTGGTATTCAATCCCCCTAACCCCCCTGCAAAGTACAGAGGTTTCTGGTTGCCGGGTTTCAGTGTTTGGACGTTGGTAAGGCTTCTGCTGAAGGAAGGTGGGATGCTCAGAATGCTTCAAGGGTTTTGGGCACTTTTTTTTTATCGTACCTGGTGTTCTTTATGATGCATGTTTATGGGGATCTCAAGACATGTGCATGTTGTTGCTTACCTACAGGCGCAGAGCATGGAGGTGGTCGAACGCTTCGAAGCCAACGCGTCACCGCGAAAAGCCAGAGCAGGATCCCAGAGCTGCAGCCCTGGAGCCCGAAGACGTTCACGGTTTAAGGTTTAGGGTTTAGGGTTTAAGGTTTAGGGTTTAGGGTTTAAGGTTTAGGGTTTAGGGTTTAAGGTTTAGGGTTTAGGGTTTAAGGTTTAGGGTTATGGGGACACGAATAGGGAAAAGGCAGAGCCACATTGCTGCGCCGGAAGTTGGCAATGCTGTTTCCCCTGAACAGCAGGTTACGGATTTGGAGGAAGAGACTTCCTTTTGCTTTGACCCAGCGCTGCTGCCCATGCTCTTCGAGCTGGAAAGGTCCATCCTAACCCTCGGCCGCGCCCAAGCGGCCGGCCCCGACGGAGTGACTGCAGAGCTCCTGAAGCCCAGCCCCAGTGCTGATGCCGGTGCCCTCTTCCCTTCTTTGTTTACCAAGAGTGCTGTCTCCCTGCGCGAGCCTGTGGAATTCAAGGCCGGCGCACTCATGATGCTCGCCAAAATGGTGTCTACTATAGGGACCTTAATAATTGGAATAGGGTTTGGGGTATATTATATTATAATAATAAGGAACCCCCCAAGACCCTATTCAAATTGTTAAGGCCCCTACATTACCGCCTAAGCATGCGATGAGTACCGCAGCATCCTGCTCTCCAGTGTACCCGGGAAGCTCTTCCACAAACGGGAGTTTCCGAAAATTTGGGGTACCTGATTTTGGGGTCCTTATAGTAAGGATCCTACTATTTACCTTCTTTTCGGGTCCTTAATTAAAAAGCTAGGATCCTATTGTGTACCTGTAGGGTGCTATATTAGGGTCCCCTATTTCGGAAACCCCCACACGTCTCCGGCACCGACTCCTGCCAGCCCTGCAGCAGGGTCCCGACCTGCAAGGCGGTGTCCAACCAGGCATAGGAGGTTGACACGTTTTAGGGTTTTAGGGTTTAGGGTTTAGGGTACCATCATGTGATTGTGTATGGCAAGAAAATCAGGGACCCTGCGCTGAATCCCAAAACTTGTCAGTCTTGTTGAGATGAGTTGTAAGGTGCGGTGGATTCGGCGGATCTCACCGTCTCCATGGATTCATATTTCAGATGTTGGTGGCGTTTGTGGTCTAGGGATGATTAGTGTCGCAGGTTTTGGTTTTAGGGAATTTGGGGGGCTCAAGGATCCACGGATGTAAGGCTATAGGAACCTCTGAATAAGTTGCTATGGCCCAAAAGTCCGTAGAAACATAGTTTCTTTGGGGGTCGAGGGTTTCTGGAATGGCACTGTTATAGGGCCCATCAAACCTTGAATGTAGAATGTGTACCCCATCGGTGATCCTAAACCCCCCAAACCAGTTCAACCCGAAACCCTACTAATCCCAAGCCCCAAACCCCTAAACCCCTAAGCCCTAAACCCTGAACCCTAAACCTTAAACCCTAAGCCCCCCGCACCCTACACCCTAAACCTTAACCATAAACATCCATAAACCCTTTGGGCCCTCACCCCTGCCCTGAACCCCTTAAACCCCGATTATAAGCCCCTAAACCCATGATCTCCGAACCCTAAACCTCGTTAAGTCCTTCAAGGCCCCCGGCCCGCCACGAAGCCCGTAGTTGATATTTACAGTTTCGTGGCATTTACGAGTGTAGGACATTTTTTCCTGCAGCCCTTAACCCTAAACCATGAAAAAACAAGAGAGCCCAATGCCCTTATAAGCTAAGGAAGGGACCTCAAATTATGATTCACAGGATTGTGTCTTACGGTGTTTTGGCTCTCTGGGTACGCTTGCTCTAGATAGGTATGCCATCGACATCCAGCGTGTCTGGCGTGGGTACAGGCGGACATGGCAACTCTGTTCCAAGAGGGTTCAGGGGTTTTGAAGTGTACATGGACAGATGAAGATGTAACTCTAAGCCCTAAAACGAGGGTAGAGGTTTCGGATAGAGGGTTTATAGGGCTTACCGTGTAGGGCTGAGGGCTTTCAGGGTTCTGGGGAATGCATGACGATGGTGTAGGTCTAAGTTTTTCAGGCTGTAGTGCCAGACGTGTGTCTATGCTCTAGGTCACAAATTTCTCAATCTCGAAGCCAGGATGCTTATGTTCGTGCAACGTGACCTCTAAAGACCTGCCTCTCGGCCCAATCCGTAACTCGACAGCAAAGCAGGTCTGCAATGACCCTGTAGCACAACCAGCTATAGGGAAAACCTCAGAAGAGTGTACGATAGAGCCACAAGCATGAGGGTTAATACAGGGGCCTTAATAATTAGAATAGGGTTTGAATAAGGAGCCCCCCAAACTCTATTCTAATTATTAAGGCCCCTACATTAAGGCGGTTAAGGGAACACGGCACAGCCAAATCGTAAGATGTCCTGATTCGGTCATGTTGAGAGTCTGGTTGTCCTGTTGGTCCTGTGTACTATTAAGGGGTGCACTTCCTTAAATCACATTAATTTAATTCCTAATACAGAGACCCTACATTCTAAGTTATAGGTACTCATAGGAACCCTTAAAGGAGCCCTAAAACCCTAAACCCCAAACCCCTAAAACCCTCAAAGAATTGGGGCGCCAGGTCTCCATGATAGAGACCCAAGGGCAGGACATTGCGGTGCAGCAAGTACTCCAGAGCCCAGG